GACGGGTGGTTATTTCAAGGCGAACCCCTGAAAAAAAAGAGAAAGTTCCCTCCCTTCGCCCTTTGTCTAACGCCGCTGACTCAGCCAGCCACTATGCTAGACTGCCAATACCAGCACACAGAAATTGCTGAATTTCTTCTGTTTAACCTGGAGAAGCTTGTGCCGACTCGAAATCCTCGTTGGTTCGCTATTACGAGCATAACGTGAAGCTCGATCCCTCGTGGACATACTGTGACCTTTATCTTACACCTATACTTATATAATGACTTAAATGTGTTAATTGTTGGTATATATAGCTTATTATGGCCAGGTTTGGGTTTATTAAGGGTAGAAAGCTTGGTTCTTGGATTTGCGTATCGTAAAAGAGTGAATGGTAGCTTCAAGGATCCTTAATTATGATTTGAAGAAAGTTTTGATGGTTGATTGTTTTGCGAGAGAATTCTATTTTTTTGAAATTCATTCTCAATTCTTTCGGTCTGCATTTGATAGCAATAGACTGCATAACTCCTATAAAAGCACCCCAAAACTTTTGCCATTTGCTCCTACCCTGAACTCACGGTTTCTAGCTAAAACAGCTATTAAAATCGACCCGGAACTTTCGAATTAAATACACTCACGTAACACGTCAAAAGCAGAGAATCTACTGGATATCAGTCGGCATAGTACATCGATAAGAAAGGTAGTATAGTGGATCGATTTTCAGTGAACGTATTCCAAGAAATTGGTCGAGTTCAACAGCCACGAAGGGAACTCCAAGATTACACGTAGGCGACAAATTAAGTGAATAAATAAAGAGAAATTAAATTAAGTAAATAAAGGGGGATTAAGTCGCAATCTTTCACTGGTCATATACAATTGATAGTTGAAAAAAGGTTCAACCTACGACGGATCAATATGATTTAATTAATTAATATCAGTATTATCGAATTTACTGAATTAATATTTTAACATTATATATTTTTAATTTTTAAACAAATAATTAAAGACTAGTTCACCCATTCCCAGTTCAACAAATCTAACGCAAATTTACCGCTATCAAATAAACGAAATATCGAGCACACGCGAGCATACAATTTCATTATTATATGGAATGATTGTACGTCTCGTATGGGTTGCGTCATTAAAAATCTAAATTCGCTAAATCGCAAAACGTCACCGGATGAAATATCGGAGCGGCGCGACGCATCGCTCGTCTGCATTGGGGTTAATGTCACTAACATGCTATTTTATTTACGTTCCGGTCGCGACACTCACTGAACAGTACAGCGTCATCCAACGTGCACCTATCCTAAAGGAGGATGCGTGGCAGTTTCCGCGGTTACGATTTCATTCGGCTTTGGAGCGCAGGCGGTGGCTTCTGAATTCCAGTCTCGACCGTGAACCTCGTTCATTTCGGTCGGCTGCACTGGCAGATAGCCAAATATCTCTTCTTCCCTCCTGGTAACGTGTCTAAACGGCTACTGCGAGACAGAGTACAGTCCGACTCTGTATTCTCCAATGCAATCGCGTTCAAGTACATTACACCGGAGGTCCAATGCCAATCCGAGCCAGCGCTGCTTGTCGTAGCGTCAAACCAGTTTCTCGCCGATAGACGCGGCCTTCTGATGTAAACGTCAAAGAAAAATCGGCGGGCTACGCTACCAGTTATGTCATATCATTCTCAGCAAACAGAATTTCTCTATTTTTGAAAGATTCTTGATTGAGAATGAGTGACTGGAAATGACAACTAAGAGATGTTATAATAAGTAAGTTATTCTGAATGTTCTGAATGTAACTTTGAATGATTTATTTTGATTCTATATTTATAATCTTATTCGAAGGTTTCCATAAACGAATGATGAAGCTTCGGTTATTTGATGAAAATTTTACTTACTAACCGATTAAATTAACTCATGCTGATTGAATTCACTTATCTGGACGTGAACTCTTATCAGATCCACGAAAAATTTATTGTTGCGTAGAGAATCAGTGATCTATTTCCTATTATGTGAACTCTAGTTATATAAATTGCTGGTTTTCCGAAAGATGTATATAAATAAAATTTTATTCCATATAGCAAAAACGTTTCTATCTATTTTATTAGGTTTCCTCTATACTATAAAATTTATTACTATTATTATTATTTTTTATTGCTCATTTATGACTTTGATTCATTCATTTCAATAATTCCTTGATGCATAGAAAAAATATGTATATCAGATATGTATATGTATATCAATTTCCTAATCATTTCACGCAGTACAATTTTAATGTCGAGACATAAAGTGCAGAAATGACAGGTTTTCGCGTGGACTGCACAATGTGCATAGGGCACAATGTACACACGGTCGTTGTTCAAGAGTCGAAGAGTAACTCGTTCAGCAGAGCAAAACCTTGAATTAGCACAGAAGAAAATCACCGACAATTCAGTGCACATTCTCACAACTTGCGCATTCCCACGACTGAATCTTCGCCCTTTTTTCGTCTACATTTTCTAGAATCCAAGTTTCCTTTACCTAGAAAGAATTCCAGAAAAAGGTTTTCCAAAATGGCTTTTATTAACTCGTTTTTTAAATAGCACATTTAAATAGCACATTTATTGAAAAATTATAACAAATGATACTACATCTCTGTTTAGAACAAAGTAAATGTAGGTAAGTACTTTGCAGAATGAGGTCAACAATGGGGATAAGTAGGAGAAGAAAGATATGACTCTGTTACCATTACATATTAATGTGTATTTGTATGGATTCGAAATACAATGTGACCTTATCCTTAATTAGGATATTTTTAGAGTATTCTTCAATAAAATTATTAGATAGAGCTACTTGTCCTCTTTAAAGAATATTATCAGAATTGTTCCTTAATATCGAATCTTTTCAGCGGTAATCGAATGTTCTTTCAGGAACAATAATCCCATTTCATTGATTGATTTTTTGTGGCTACGAAAGCGAAATTTACAAAGAATATTTCTAAAGTTATGAAATCCGTAAATTCATATGTTGAAGGAAGCAAAAATAACAAGTAAAGCAGAGTAGAAAACTATCTTCTCATAAAAACAGTAGATTGGAATTGTAATCCCAACGAGGTTAATAGTGCAAATTTCATTATACACATGCGAACGCGTGAAGAACGGGCGGAGAGATGCAGCGTGAAACAGAGTGTTTAAAGTTCATTGAACAATCGGCTGGAACGAGGCAGCTGGCGGTTCGCGATATGTAAATGGAACGTAAATTTGTAAGCATCGCGTGCTCGACCTAGAGAGAAAGAAGCCCTTTGAAGGGAAATCCTTCAGGAGAAGGGAGGAAACGCGGTGCACGCTATCATTTTTGCACTACCAAGTCACGGCAGTCTTTCTCCTCTTTTTTTCTTTCGATCGAACGATCGTTTAATCACGTTTCAGGCCTGTTTTTTTCTCTTCTAAAGAAGATTCGAGGTTCAGCCGATTATCTTTCCTGTGCCTGCAGATAAAACCGATAATTGGGTTGCTCGTCTCGGTAGTGAATGAGAATAATAGAATTGAAAATGATTTTGTTAAAGAAAGGTCTACTTTCTTTAGTATTTAAGAATCTAATCTATCACATAAATTTATAATACATAACAGAAATCTATTATATCTCTATAATAACCATACAATAGGAGAAGAATGTCAAGTTTGATTATAAAATTGATTGTTTTCTTTTGTTCCCATGATGATTGTTAGACGCAATAAAGGAAGAAGAGTTTCTTCTCATTATTTATGTGGG